CGGCGCGTGGTCGCGGTCCGCTCTCGGGGGACGGGGGCGGCGCTGCTTACCTCCGGTGCCAAAGGGCGGCGCGACGGCGCAGCTCGGCGCAGCGAGGCGGCGAGGCGGCCGAAGCAGTATGGTGCGCAGGTTCCGCAGGTTCTTGGTCACCGTCCGGATTCGGCGCGCGAGCGGCTCATCGCAAGTGCGGGCTTTCGTGGTGCAGATCCCACGGCGCGCAGGAGAGTGTGCGGCGCCGGGCGCTCGAGCGGTGGAGGCCCTCCTGCTGATGCTAGTGTGGAGACACCGCAGAGGGCAGCAGCCTTATCCTAGAAGACCAGGTAGGAACAGGCCCTCACAAAGTCCCGGGTGCAAGGACGTTTGGATGGTTTTGTTTGGATTGATTTAAGGCACAGACAGATCAGTCATCTGGGTGAGGCTGGAGGAGGAGGTTACAAGGGGTGAAGTCGGAGGGGTGCATTTCCCCCCATCGGGTTGCGGTTATTTGAAGAGGTGTGCATCTTCCAATACGTTGAGTCTGGAGCCCCCTTCACAGACGTCTTCAATCCTGTGAAACTAAGTGGATCCCAGACCTTCTCAGGGCAGTTTACAAGTTTAGAAACATTGGCTTTAGAATTTCGTCGGTGGGAGTCGCCTGGTAGACACACACACTCACACGCACATGCACACACACACACTCACACACCCGGTATGGTGTCTTCTTCGAGCACTTTATTTCGCCCCGGAGGGAAATTACTGCTAACCGTCTTAATTTTCTGAAGCCCCCCCACAGCTTTTTTTTCTCCTCCCCAGCCTCTGGGGCGAGTAGAGGAGCACACTGGAGCTCCGAGTTCGGACATGCATTAGTGTGACTTCCTGGAATACTAACCCTGATCGAGGGATCAGTAACTGCTGCAAAGAGCAAACCCTTGCTTCTGGGAGATTTTGCAGCCAGCAAAGAGAATGGGTTTTCATAAAGAGTTGAAGTTTCTTACTTTGAGGCCTGAGTGATTAAAAATGTTCAGAATGTTCCTATGGGTAGTAGACCAGAGAACTACGGTACTGTCTTTCAGGCATCACAACGGATCATATTTTACTCACCTCGGACCACAATTAACATAATTTATAAATGAGGCCTACCTCTTGAAAAATGCTATCTGTGGTAGTTCTGTCCTCGTAGGGGGTAAGCCTTCACTCAATCAGTGTACTGTTCTATGACCAGGAAAATTGAAAAAATATAATGCTATAATATGCAGAATCTTAATTAGAACTTGGATGGTAAGTCTAAAACTGATTTCATTGTTATGGCCTTCCTTGAGACATCACGCCCTTCGGAATACATAACTCCGAAAAGCAAAGGCCAGTAGAGGGTGGATTTTTTATTGCATATTTACTCTTTCTGACAGAGAAATGACTCCCGTACACACACACACACACACACACACACACACACACACACACACACGGAGGATTGTGCCCTGGACCTTCACACTGAGCTACATCGCCGGCCCTTTTGAAATTTTTATCTTTTATGCAGAGACGGAGATTTCACTCAGACCCTAAATTACCCAGGCTAAGCTTGAATTTCTCTCCTCCTGCCTAAGGATCCCGTAGTGCAGCAATAGCAGGCCTCGGCCACTACAAACCAGTTTAGGATTTTGTTTTCCTATTAGCAAAAATGTACAATTTGTAGGATATATGCACATTGTATTTTTGATTTTTCGTATTATGAAAATATTTTAATAAATAGAAGGACTTTACAAAGGATCTCATGACATTGCTAGATTTGATTTTTAAATGTTCACAAATGTAGTAGTGAATGCCTGTAATCCCAGAACTTGAGAAACTCAGACAGGACAGTCACAAATTCCAGGCCTGCCTTCGCTACATACCAAATTGAGGGCCAGCCTAGACTGCACAATGAGACGCTGCTTCAAAAATAAAAATGAGGGTTTTTTTCCCTTAATAGTTATTTACCCATATCAACAAAGTTTAGCCACTGTAATATGTAAGTTTGAATACAGTTGTTAGTATTACTCTTTATACAAATAGTGGTTTTATTACTCCAGATAAAATTACTGTATATAAAGTTATTAGATTGTTTCTGGAAATCTGTATTTAGGAAGTAGAAACTTTTAATATACGTAAATGCTGTAATTATGTGTTTTCCATTTTAAGAATATAAAAATATTGTGGCTACTTTATGTTACAGAAAATATTCATTTTATAGTATACTTGTTGTAATAGAATGGAAAATATAAAAATAGATTTGTTGAAAGTAACTATTCATTTCTTGCTATTTAAGTGTAAGTGAAATTTTAGGAACTAGGTGTAAAGTTATTTACACTGTTAGAAAAGCCCAGGTGTCCGCAAGTACCTCGTGCTAGGACATGCGGCTTAGATAGCATAGAACATATGTCTTGAAAATATGTTCAATTTTCCAACTTCCTATATGAAATTATATACATAAAGTAAACATCTGAAGTGTTAATTGTAAGTGACATGTTGTATATTTCACATTTATAAACTACATCTACTGTACTGATTTAGGTATATATGGTGTTCATTACATTGAGACTCATCCAGTTCCTTCTGAGGTACAAAAACTTAAACAGTACAGGTGCAAATTACATAATATTAGTGCAAATATGTAAGATACATATTTTTAAAGTTTCTGCAAATACATTCATTATGGCATTTTTTTTTTTATCTAACTGGAAATGTGTATAATGAAATTGAGCTGAGGAGGTAGTTCAGGGGTAGATCTTTCATGAGGCCCTGGATTCAATTCCCAGCAACACATGTGCCTGTAAGCATGTGCTCACAGGCGCGCACACACACACACACACACACACACACACTCACATGGACTCCACATTACCAGCTCCATACCTAGTTCTTATCTACACATACCTGATGCACTGGATACATGAAATTGGTTTCCCAGTACACATACTTTGACATGTCTACAAAATGGTCACATTTTCATTACGAAGCTAAATATTCATTTGTTCATAGCTATTGAGGAAATGATAGGTCTTTATGCTTTTACAACATGGAGCACTTTCAAGGTAAATACTGTGCATTATTCCAAGTGCGTACATGATCCCAGTGGGTTTTGTGTTCTGAATGAACAATAACCCTTTCAGAAATCAATATTTCATTTTCATCTTACTTCTTTTGAATTTTAAAATATCCATTAGCATCCTAAGGTAGGAACAATAAAAGGTAGGACCAATGTAGTTTTATTGCTGTCTATGTCCATATTATTTTACAGGTCTACAATTACATGTTAGTTCATCAGTAGTAGCTATTGCGATAAAATTAAACTCAACTATTTTACTAATATAAGGATGACTCCTGTTAATAAAGGGATACAAATATTTTTAAAATACTATCTTATAGCAAGGCTGAACATGTGGCCCAGTGTTTTCACTCTTTTAAAACATTTATTTATTTATTTATTTACTTATTTTGGAGAAATGTCAAAAATCTCACTTGCAGCTCATATGACTCACCCTATGCCAAAGCAAAACTGAAGCTCCAGACTAAAATACCTGTGCCCCTCTATCTTCACAAAGCCCAACATGAAAAAAAAGATAAAAAAAATTTTGTGCTGTATTTCTGTAGTGTAAATTATGTAAACAATGGGTATGTTTCATTTTCTAAACATAAAATTATATTGAATATAAATTTTTCTCTAAATTCTTATTTTTACGTACCTAATCACTGATGTTGTCACTTTGTATTGTCTGATTAACACCCTTTCATGAACACTTCACAGGTTAGGTGACGATTTTATAATGCGTGTCAAGAGCTTTTTTTTTTCAAGAGCTTTTTAAAACCCGCACACTTTCATTCCACTATGCTGTACCCTAGGTATCATCCTAAGAAAACAAAGATTCTGGTAAAGATCAGAGCAAAGATGGCTAAAAGAAGTAAGAAACTGACAGGTGCCTGTGACTAGCAATAAGGTGCTGAATTATGGTGCGGAGATATTCTGGAATGTTAGACAGCCACCGATTTGCAGGGTATTTAACAGAATGTACAATAACTACATTACTGAGTTAGACTTTTTAAAAGCAAAATTCAAAATAGGAAAAGATCTTGCTCTTTTTCTGTCTGCACACACACACAGAGATACGTGCACGCTCTTTATGAACTTGCAGCGATCTCTTCAGGATGGCAGGGCTCTGGGTAATATTTATTTTCTTTGTTGCACTTTTACATTTTTACAGTGTTCACACCAGCACCAGTTATAATTTACGTTATTTTCAAATCCTTTGACACAGTAAGAAGCATTCCATCGTGGTTTGAACTACTGGCTCCATTAGCTTTAGGTGGGAAGACGGGGAAACAAGAGAGGGAAAAGCTACAGACCATCCTGTGCATGAAAGTGCTTTTAAGGCTTGGGAAGTGTGTGAGGGCTGTGACTTGAGACACAAAATAGACTGTGCTTTTCACCACGCAGTTCCGTTTTTGAATAACGATAAAGCTGCAGCTCTGTTTGCAGGACTCTGAGATGTTAGGCCTTGGGTCGCAACACGAGCGCGCTCCCTGCTACCCCTCCTTGGCGTTGTCCCCACCCCACCCAGCAAGCGCACGCGTCTTCTCCAGCGACTCCGGGCGTGGGCTCGCGGCCTGCGGGAGCCGGCAGTGCGGGCGAGGTCCACACTGCGGAGAGCGCCTGCGGGCCGGAGCTGAGCCTCCGCGCTGGCACAGCTCGCAGCCTCTTTCTCCGCCCCACCTCCTCCTGCACCCTAACCTCGCCCCCGGGCGCTGCACTCGGGGTTCCTCGGCGCCCGCTCACCCGGGGAGGTTTAATTGGCAACAGCAAGAGCGCTGACACTTGGCCCAGGGATCACCCACTTCGCGCAAGCGCCCTTTCCACTTTGGGACTCCGTCTCGCCCCTATTTGTGCAGGGAGGATTTGCCCCAATCGCAGCCGCTGCGGACGGGGATTAGACGTGGCATGGGACGGGGGCTTCTCGGAGCGGGGAAGGGAGAGCAACTGCGGAGCCCAAGCGTGTCCGGTGCCCTCGGAGGAGGGAGGGGTCTCGAGACCACCGCTCGAGCTCTGAGCGGGCGAGGCCTTTCTTCTCGGAGGGGATGGCTGCAGGGGAAAGAGCGCATCCAGGACCCGGCAGCTGTCCGCTACTCCCCGGCCGGCCGGGGCGTGAGGGCTGAAAGGCCTCCTCCTTTCTAAGTGTGCGGGGTGGTGCGCAGGCTGAGCAGACTGATCCGTAGTGTTTTCCAGTGCTAATTCAACAGTTTTCTTTTACTGTTACTAATCTCCCCTTCATTTAAAATACCCAGATGAAATCATTGATTAGAATTAAAA